TTTCGCCGAAAAATTATACAATCGCAAACTTGTACACATTCAGCACATAGAGGGGATTTATTCGCCAGCCACCCAAACACGTTTCATAGGCACCCAAGAGCGAACAATTCATGGCAAATGAAGGAGACAATTTGAAGGAAATGAATTAGGTGTAATGGAAATTTCGCCTAAGTAAACATCTGTTTTGATGCTTTTTTTGTTCATAGTGGGGCTCAGCAATGATAAATTGAAGCCGATCCAGCTTCAATGCCTCACCATGTTAAATCATTTGGCGGCCCGATGGTTTCGGACAGAACTGGCGCGGCCGATCCGGAAGTGTTTACCAGCGAAATTCTGCCCAGCGAAGCTTTATTTTCGTCATGGGTGTAGCGCAGAGGTTATCTTTCTCATTTCGCACTTAAATGTTGTATGTTGGTGGGTATGACGGACAAGTACATTTTATGTTTGTGTTGAATGGCGGTATTTGTCAGCAATCCACGCGAAAGGTGCTGGCTTTATTCGGGAGAGCAGAAGGAAGTCCGCCCGCCAGCAATTTTCTCCTGTTGGGCACCTATTTGCGAACTTGACCTGCTTTCAAATCATGATTTGTTACCAGGTTTGCCCATTTTCTGTTTTATATCCATCGAACCTTGCTTATGACACACATTATGAGTCCACAAGTTATGTAATTAAGCTATTTTGTCCCCCACTCGTAAGCATTTGTTCTAAGTTTGTTGCAGTGGTCCCTCATGTCTGTCTCAACAAGATGTTTCCAATAGTTGTGATGGTTTGCTGACTGGGCAAATGAATGTACTGTGGAATAAATAATATTTTTAACCAAGAATACCCTAAGCTGCATAACTACATCAATATGAGGTAGCTCTAGGTGTTCAGCAAATAGACAACCCCCTTTGTAATGTAAAGCCGACATTTCAGACTTTAGATAATTAAGTATTGATGGCCAAGCCTAAATGATAACTGTATCGTGATGTTACTGGCGTGCGCCTGAGGCCGCCCCTGCTCGCGCCGCCAGTCCTGCTGCACCTTGGTACGCCGCTGCCCCGACCGGCGGCGTACTGCCTGGGGCGCCGCCTACTCGCCTCGCGGGTTAATACAGTTGCCGTCTCGCAGCGCTCGTGTCTGGTCTGGGCAGACAGAACACGTAAGACTTGAATATGGCGCAGCCGCATTGAACCTAGAGTAAGCTTAAGCAAGCGTGAGCAGCAGACTAATTTAAACAGTGTGAGTTGTGAAGCAAGTCGAGATGCCTGGATTTCGTCCTCCTGAGGAATTCGACTTCACATCGCCTGAGAGGTGGCCGACCTGGCGTGATCGGTTCGTCCGCTACAGACTGGCATTGGGACTACACAAAGAGGACGGTGACATTCAAGTAGCTGCATTGATTTACAGTATGGGTCCGCAGGCTGAACATATCGTACCAACATTAAAGCTTACCGCTGAGCAGAAGGAGGATTTTGAAATTGTTGTCTCAAAGCTAGACGGGTACTTCATTCCGAAAAGGAACTGTATTGCATAACGCCACAACTTCGAGCTTAGATCTCAAAGCTCAAGCGAGACTAATGAATCGTACATCAGAGCTTTGTTCTCTCTAGCTGAGCACTGCAGCTTCGCTGACGCTGATCAGCGTAACAGAGATCGTCTCATCTCAGGAATGTCTGACAGGGAGCTGTCCCGTAGAATTCAGCTGAAGTCACTAGAGGAGGAAGTGTCTGTAAATACCGTCATTTCGATGATGCGTAATGTCGAGATCGTGAGCGGCTGTGACAGCTCTGGTCCACCTGACATCAGTAGGGTTTGTGCACCGGTGCAGCACAGGCAGCCACGCCAGCAGCACCAGCAGAACAGACGTCAACAGCAGCCTTCCACCGCGCAACGGCAACAGCATAGTCAGCGTGCCGACTTTTCCACAGCATGTATATACTGTGCAAGAGCACGTCATGTGTCTCCGAAAAATTATCCCGCTAAGGGAAAAATCGGTGACAACTGCCAGAAAATGGATCATTTTGCATCTGTTTGTCGCTCCAGCGGTGTCAGAGCGATTGAGCGGACAGCGTCCATTGAAAAACTATCGCCGCCCAACATTTTTGTTGGCGAAGTAGACAGAGCTTGCGCGCGATGGAGAGTTTCAGTCCTTCTAAATGGTCAACGAGTCGCTTTCAAAGTTGACTGGCGCTGATGTTAGCATTCTGATGCTGAAAACGTACAACAAGCTGACACTACCGCCGCTTCAACATGCTTCAAATACTCTGACAAGTGTTGGTAGCGTGCTAAAAGTATAAGGAAAGATGCACTGAACACTCATGTTCAAGAACAAAGCCGAGCCTGAGGTGTTCTTCGTTGTTGACTCAGCTGATGATCTCCTCTCCAGGTCTGCTTGCTCAAGCCTGGGCGTAATGAGGTTCACAGGTGAAGCCAACGAAGACGTCTTCGGAGAGGCAGGTCTGCTGAAGACAGCACCGGTCAACATTCAGCTTCGTGAAGATGCTGTTCCAGTCGCCCTTGCCACTGCAAGGAACATCCCGCTGCCATTGATGAAGCCGGTGGAAGAGGAGCTGAAGAAGATGGAGCATCACGGCATCATCACGTCGGAGACCGAGCCAACGGACTAGGTCTCTGCGCTGGTCCCCGTCCCGAAGCCGAAGAGCAGCGGTGTCCGCATCACGGTTGACTACAAAAGACTCAATCAATCTGTGAAGCGACAGGTGTTCCCGATCCCTACTCTGGAACAGCTGACCTCCAAGCTGAGTGGTGCGACGCTCTTCACCAAGCTGGACGCCTCTTCCGGTTTCTACCAGATCCCGCTGGACGAGGCGAGCTCCAAGATGACCACGTTCATCACTCCGTTCGGCAGGAAGAGGTTCCCGCGACTGCCGATGGGGATCTCGCTCGCACCGGAGTGCTTCCAGCGGAAGATGGAGGAGATGCTGGACGGACTGCCCGGAGCCATCGTCTACATGGACGACACCGTGGTGTTCGGAGATGCTGCCAGCCACGATGCACGTCTCGAGGCCGTCATCAGGAGGATCCACGAGTCTGGCCTCAAGCTGAACAGGAAAAAGTGTGAGTTCCGGAAGAACGAGGTCAAGTTTTTGGGGATGAAGATCAGCAAGAACGGCATCAGCATGGACGAAGAGAAGCTCGAAGCGATCCAGCAGCTCCAACCACCAAAGAATGTCAATGAACTAAGGTCTCTGCTCGGAGTAATCAACTTCCTGGGCCGGTTCGTTCCACACATCCAGGAGTGCTTAAGACCACTGAACGAGCTTGTGAGGAAGAACGTAGCATGGATCTGGACGCCACAGCAGCAGCAGGCGCTGGATGACGTGAAAGCAGCCGTCACTTCAGATCCAGTTCTGGCATTCTACGACCCAGTACGAGAGACGGTGGTCAGCGCCGACGCCAGCAGTTTCGGCATCGGAGGATGTGTTCTCCAGAAGCACGGCTCCGTCTTCAAACCCGTGGCGTTCTGCAGCACAAGCCTGACTGACGCCGAGACCAGATGGGCCCAGAGCGAGAAGGAACTACTCTCCGCGACGTGGACGTGCGAGAAAATGCACATGTTCCTGTCCGGACTGCCGTCGTTCGAGCTGCATCTGGACCACAAGCCTCTGATCCCACTGGTTAACGCGAAAAACCTCGTGGATGCGCCGATCAGATGCCAGCGCATGCTCATGCGCTTAATGCGATGCAACGCCACAGCGGTCTTCGTTCCAGGGAAGCAGCACCTGGTGCCCGACTTCCTCTCACGTCACCCGCTCCAGAAGCAGGATGAAATCAGCGCCGTGCTTCAAGAAAACATACATGGATTCTGCGAGAGAATCTTCAGCGATCTTCCCGCCACACAGCAGCGTCTGGTGGAGATCAGCAAGGCGCAGCAAGCAGACGAACCCCTACAGCGCCTAGTTCAGCAGACTCTCTCTGGCTGGAAGGAGGAAGCGAAGCATCCCGACCTGCTGGACTTCTTCGCCTCTCGGGAAGAGACGAGCGTTCTGTACCTAACGTGTGGTATACTGCTGATGCACGGGCGACACATCGTCATCCCTCCGAGTCAGCGAGATGAAATGCTCACTCGACTACATGATGACGGACACTTCGGTCTAAACAAGTGTCGCCAGAGAGCAGCAGTATCGATCTGGTGGCCTCAACTCAGCATCGACCTGAAACGTCATCTCGAGAGCTGCTCGTTCTGTCAGGTGAACACGCCCGCCCAGCACGCTGAGTCACTGGTGACAACCCCAACGCCATCAAGACCGTGCACGCACGTTGCAGCAGACGTCTTCCACTTCAACAACTGCAACTGGCTCGTCACGGCGGACATCTTCAGCAGGTATCTGGAGATACGCCTCCCGAGTCTCACCAGCAGCGCAGTCATCGAGCGTCTGAAGCGCCTGTTTTCCCGCTTGGGGATACCAGACCTCGTGACAACAGACGGAGGAACGCAGTTCACTTCAAGCTCGTTCGCCAACTTCACAGCGTCCTACGGCTTCACAAACCGCATCTCAAACCTGCACACGCCGTCTTCCAACGGAGCGGCTGAACGGGCCGTGAGAACCAAGTGGATACTTCGCCAGAGGGACCCCCACCTCGCCCTCCTCAACTACCGCACGACGCCTGTGGAAGCAACCGGATACTTCCCAGCCCGTCTCCTGATGGGACGCGAACTTTAATCTCGTCTCCCCATCGTTCAGCCAACCGGAGAAGCGACATGGCAGCATGCCAGACTCCGAGATCGGCAGAGGAAGAAGAAGCTGGAGACGTGCTTCAACCGGAGACGCAGTGCCCGTGATCTTCAGCAGCTACAGCCCGCGGATCATGTTCGGATCAAGACGGAGAAGGAGGCAAGCTGGTCCGAGCCCGCCACCGTCTCTCGAGCCAGAAGCTCTCTAGACGCAGCTACCTTTTGAAGCTCAAGGGTGCTCGCTATCGTCGCAACCGACGTCATCTGATGCAGGTCCCCCCGTTTCAGGTTTTGACACAGCACGGTTCCACGCGGCGTGCTGACCGTTCTGCACACAGGGTGCCCGCTCCAGACCTCTCCTCTGGCCGCCATGCTGAGGTGGCGCCACCGGCGCTGCTGCAACCGCAGCCGTGCGAACCGGCGCCTGCACCACGATCGGTGGTGCTAAGGCCACCATCAGCTGTGCCGTCGCCCGCGTCGACAGCGGCGCCGCCGCCGTCACTGCCGCCGCTGACAGAAGCTGCGGCCTAGCCCTGCAACGCGCAAGTGCCCCAGACTCCAGACCCACCGCCACTGCTTAGTTTCAGTCGCGTAAAACACGCAGTGGCCGCGTTTTCTGAGAAGCATCAAAGAGAAGCAGCAGAGAAGCAGGTGGGAAGCAGCAGGGAAGCAGCAGAGAAGAAGCAGTCTGAGAATCAGAAGGGAAGCAACAGCCTGAGAAGCAGCAGGGAAGCAGCAGGGAAGCAGCAGTCTGTCGCCAATAATTTCGTTTCGCAAGCGTACTAGCATTTATTTGCATTTACTCAAGGAGGAGATGTATCGTGATGTTACAGGCGTGCGCCTGAGGCCGCCCGTGCTCGCGCCGCCAGTGCTGCTGCACCTTGGTACGCCTCTGCCCCGACCGGTGGTGTACTGCCTGGGGCGCCGCCCGCCGAGGTCGGCGCCGCCTGCTCTCCTCGCGGGTTGATACAGTTGCCGTGTCGCAGCGCTCGTGTCTGGTCTGGGCAGACAGAACATGTAAGACCTGAATAATTACCTTTGCTGCAGTTTAAACGGCAAGCAGCAAAAATTGTTCTGTGGCCGTCCTGAAGTTATATTACTGTTGGAGGACAGACAGACAGACGGACAGCTACCCTAAGTTTGGTTCAGCTGGCTACTTGCACAGAAAGAAACAATGGGAGTTTTACTGGAACAATGACTCACAAATGCTGCTGTTATATAAATGGGTTAGTCATGATGAGATGAGGTAAAGCTTCTCTAGGTTAGGCTTAGTTACATTACTTTCATGGAAGTGATGGTAGGTATGTAAGTTTTGTGAGAACAAGTGACATAATATTTTCTCATCCCATTCTGACAGAATCCAAAAGTATGTCAGGTGTTACTTGTAAGGTTTGCCAATGTGTTTATGTGCATGGGTTCAAGACTCTTGTTGTCTGAATGTTTTATGCCGGTTGAATTTCATCACACATTCTTCATCTGCAAAGCAAAGCTCAAAGCAATGTATTAATAGCAAGCTTTTATGCCTTGACAGAATTTGGAAGGCATTCAAAATTCACTTTTAAGGTATGCAATAACCAGCTGGGGATGTGAAGGGATATACAAGAAATGATGGAGCCCAAATATTTTTTCAGGAAAGTGTCTTGTGTGGGTTCACAGCGGTTTCCACTAATGTGCCCTCCATAATCATATTACGCATACCGCTGGTTGTGGCAGTAAGTGCTGCCATCTACAAAGATTCATCACCGCTTACTGGTTACTTTTACCGCTAGGTGGCAGAACTTATGGTGTGACTGGTCGACAGAACTCAGGGAAGCACGCGACCTCCTGTCATCCTTGCCATTCTTGCTCTGGATACTATCGGCCATGGGGGGCCGTGGACGCCCTCACCAAGAGATGAAGGACGGCGACCTGGTGCCCTGCAGCACCCGTGGCAAGCGACTGACAAAGCATAATCTGCCAAGACACGCCAGATCCCAGCACCAGGTCGGCCCGAAAAAGCTTCGAGGTTTTGTAAAAAAGATGTGTAAAAGCGGAGGCAAAGGCAGTCCGTCAGAAGAGGTATGAGGAGCGTGCGTTTAAGGACCTGTTGACATCACAGTCCGACAGCGAAGGACTCGACGATCCGTCGACGTCGCGCGATGTTGCGTCTCGGCATGTGGATGTAAGTGTGACTTCCGGAGGAGGCAAGGTGGCGGAAAGCAGGCACGTGGGGGTGGAGCAGTCTCTAGCTGTGCATGTGGATGGAAGCGTGGCTTCTGGAGGACGTGAGGTGGTGCAGAGCACGCGTGGGGGTGGAACAGGCTCGTGGTGCGCATGTGGGTGAAAGCGTGGCTTCTGGAGGAGGCGAGGTGGCGAAGAGTGGGCATGTGGAGGTGACGCTGGCTTGTGGTGTGCAGATGGGGGGAGGAGTGACCGCTGTAGGAAGCGAGGTGGTGGATGAGAGCAGAGCCGTAAAAAAAACGTTGGGGCGGGGCAGACTGGAAATGCAGGTGTGGTAGGAGTCATGGACGTGCATGCGCTTGGAGGTATGCCGACTGCGTTTGCTGAAGTGAAGAAATGTATATGCTGTGGTTGCCGCCGGCGGCGAGAACCCATGATTGACAAATGCCTGGTCTCAACTCGAGGGTCTGACTATTCGTTCATCAGGACGTAAGCGAACGGCCACAGACGAGACGCGGGACGTACCGACCACCCTGACATCGACAGACAGACAGACAGACAACATCGACAGAGGTACCCAACCGGACACTGAGGCGACAACAGACAGCGACATAGACAACTGGCTACTACTTAACAGACCCGGCGACAAGGAGCATGGCATCTGTCGGTGGTGCAACCGCCACTCCACGGACAGAGGCACCACAGACCCGTGGTCCGATCAAGGTGTTCTCCTGGACGGCAGAAAAAAAGAACGGGTGGCAAAGCACGCGGCCTCGAACCGACATCGACTCTCTGTGACGGCAGAGCGGAGACGCAGGGCGAGACCTCTCCTCAGGCTGGTGCGGCGGCAAAGTGATGAGCGTCGCGAAGCCACTGAAAAACCTAACCATCGCACACATGATTACTCGTGGTCATACGTATGCTGACTTTGAACGCGAACACCTTCCGGATACCTTGGGGGTCCAAATTGGCAATGAGCGTCAAACTCACCTAGCCGCTGCCCAGTCTGTGGACGTGATTTATGACGTTTTCAGAGACGAGCTGAAGCAGCACATCAGGACGCCAAACCCTGCGACTGGACATGCCCGGCACATGCACTTGACCATGGACAAGGTCACAGTGTCTGGCGTGACGCGACAGGCTGTGAATTTGCGACTTCGACACCGACGGCAACACTGTGGTAGTTCACGGGACGACCGCAGTGGTGAGACCGTATCCTGACCCCGTTCCCATCTACACAGCCACCCTCCCGTCGCGGCAGCGTGATGCAGTCACTGGATGCAACGAGACCAACGGGCGGGGTGTGCTCGCTCACGTGACTGACTACCTTAACAACGACTTGGGACTGACTGGACGATATTGGGCGTCAAGTCCTCTCTACTTCTTCGGACTGTGAGGCCGTGTACTCGGGACCAGCCAGTGGCTTCGGCCGCATCTGGAGAGAGCTGCATGAGAATCCATCGTTCATGCGCATCAGTGACCGGGCGCGCCGGCTGGAGTCCTTGGACAAAATTAAGCACCACCAGACATGTGCGTGGGTGGAGGATTTTTTCCAGCGACTGAATTCGATTATAACCGTGTTCACGGCTTCACCAAAACTGAAACGACAAACTGGACGGACAGCTGAAGACTTGGACCTGCTATGCGTGGCCTTTCAGCGCCTTATTGAGACGCGATTCGTGGCGCACTCGATAGAAGCCATTGAACGAGTTTTGACGAACTGCGATGTGGCCGCAGCAGTGCTCAAGGATGGCATTGCGAGCGGTGACATCGACAAAAGCAATGCTAAATCAGTCCTAAATTACCTTCAGGACGCCAAGTTCCTTACCAATGCACTGGCAGTGCTCGCCATCATGCGCCCCGCTGTTACGCTTAATAAAGCTGGCCAGGCCGCGACGTATACGGTGTTTGACAAGGTGGCCGTGCACCGGTTCCGACAGGACGTGACAAAACTGACTGACGCTGACTTCCAGGGTCGTCTGGAGGAGGACAGACCTGCGGTCGTCAACCTGGCAGTCCGGCACAGGTGTGCCGCAGGCAACCCTCTGACGCACACCCGCCTGACACGTCCACCGACATCCTACGGGAAGTGACTTACCGACGGCGTGAGGTTGCGCTGACACTCCTTGCACTCCCAGACCTTGAGAAGTATCCAGGGCAAACTGAGGTCGACAAACTCATGACTGAGATTTTCGACTTCGCGCGCTATCCGACCAACAAAACGGACCTAGAGAGTTACGCTGACGACAAGCTAGTCGACCTCGTGACTCGACTGTGTGACGGACCCCTGACTCTCCCCAAGCCGTGCAGTGTCACGTGCCTGGGACCGAGGTGTGCGTGCTTGCTGTGGCAGCTCAGAGAGTTCAAGCGTAGAGTGGTGGCGGAGCGAGAGCGGTTCGGAGACGAGTGGCTGCCCACACGCAGCGGTGTCGTCCGCTGGCTGCCGGAGGCGGCGCTCCGATCATTTTTGCGACCTGAGACAGATCTGCACGCAAATGTTCCGGATGTCGCCGAGTTAGTTGAAATATGTCTAGTGCTCAGCCGGTCTCAGGCTGACACTAAAAGAGTTGGTAAAGCGTCAAAATTTGCTGTAGAAGGCCGTTTTGGGGGAAAGCACGATGGCTTGAGGAGCAACGACCAGGATCGTGCTATGAAGGAAATCTTCATAAGGGAGAACCAGGTCCCCTTCCGCTTCTTCCCGGCAAAGAGGTGCACGGATAGGTGGCTAAGCCGGCACCGGCACGCCCTAAAAAAGAAGACCGCTGACCAGTCCTTGACCGTCTAGCGGCTCAAGCTCAAAGGCAAACGCCTGAAATTTATGTTTAGTTCACGCTAGAGGTCCAAAACTTCGCATAAATTTAGCCCACGGCCACTGACTAGACATGAACGATGAAGCGTAGCGTTGCGGGCCAAATTCGCGCAAGTCCTACAAAATTTTACGATTTCATCGCGTTTTTCTGTCTTTTGCCGGAAGGAATGATCTAAAACAGTCATTTGCAAGAGTTATTTAGGTTGTCTTCGACACACAGGTGAATCAATTCCCGCACGGGGTCAATTGTTTTAGGAAGACATGAACCCGAGAAATGAATCTCAACAGTCGATCGATGACCGCGGCGATCGGTCGTTGCGTGCGATCATCATCCGTGTGAATGTGTATTTCTTGTGCGCGGTCATCATAGCTTAGCTTAGAAGGTGCGTTGTTACATTCAGGGTGTGAGTGAGCCTGGAAGCTGGAGAGAATGAGAGATGCAGCGTGAGTTATTGGAAAACAAAACAATGCTCAAGATTTGGTGCCTTTTCCCGCTAGAATGTAACGCATAGCATAGTACTGAATGCGCCTGCTGGCCAGCCCTTTACGGCTGTGTGTACCTTGTCATGAAGCAGGATATACCACACCACCATATGGAGCGGCAATTGCCCGCTACCCGACCTGCATGTCGACAAGTACTTTGGGCGTATGCTTTAAACACACTCACGAGTGGCGCAGGAACGCACGGATCGCCGGCATTCAGTGCTCAAATGCACATCGCGGTTGTCAGCAGGCAATATCGAATGTTTTTACTCGACGTCATACTGCTCTATTGCATATGCCACGTGGGCACTCAGTAAAATTTCGGTGTTTACCACTGACGGGTACCTGTTGCGAGCGCATAGACCCGATGAGGCTGACACCACGTGAGTGCTCAGTTTCACCCATCCAATGTGATGCGGAGCCATCGCGCAGGCCACCTTTTTTCCTCAACAGCAATATTAACTCGACAATCAGCCGGACATTGTCGTAAGACGCAATGTTCTCAGTGCTCAGCACACTGCGAGTTTAATGCTATGTTGTGCATTATGGGTCAATGCAATCCCACAAGATGAAATAAAACTTTTTCATGTTTATGATGCTACGTCCCTGCCGATTCAAAATGCGTGTATTTGTTAGCCGGGCCATCTCTTACTGGCTCGTAAGTTCATAAGTTCATGAGTTTTTTGTGAATTTTTCACTTCTATATGCTTTTTTAGGCGTAATTGTTCACTCCTAACCTTAGCTCAAAAGCGATTCTAGCTCCCTGGAAATGTTAAGATTGTTATCTGCGGGTCCTGAACACGATTGACCTGTTACGTTGATGCGGTCATTCAACCTCACCGTTGTAACGCTTCGGCCTTGTGAGTAGCGTTCTTCCTTCCACCAACGCCCATCAGTGAACGGGCGTGAAAAGGTAGCTATATTCGGTCGAGGTCCCCTTAACGAAGTGCAGCGTCACGACACTGGTGGTCGGGTCGCGTCCGCTTCTCTCCGACCGTCACTGCCCGTCTGACGCCACCGGCCTCCAAACACTGGAGATGGGGCGTTCTCGAACCTTCGACGTTGTGCAATTCTAATGCGCATGTGAGCCTGCATGAAGCAGCAGCAGAGGCGCGCTATGTCGCAACCCTTGCAAAAAGCGACTAAGGCTACGAATAACCACATCCAGCTTATCTAATAATAAGCATACAAAGTAAACAAGGTAATGCATTTGCGTCGAACGAGTTGGTCTAAGCGCGTTGTTCCCGTTAGCGAGCCGAGTGTCCCGCTGACGCGTTGACAATGGCGCAGTACCGACGCGTATTCGGTTACGCGTTACACCGTTCTCTTATTTTGGGCTTCCCGAATAGATCAATACAACTGGGGTTGTTTGAGCGTTTCATTATCGCAAGACTCACAGCCGGAATGCGCTCCAATCACACCAACAGGAATTGGCCCAAGGACCTAGCACTAGGCCTTTGCCTGACTACTGCATAGCCCCGCATGAACAAGAGACGGCACCGATCTTGCAGTACGACCACGACAGCCCACACGCGGAAGGGGGGGGGGGGGGGCAGCCGGCCGCGGTTGCGCGCCTCGCGCCCAGTCTTCGTGCGCTAGAATCTGGGGACAAAACTACGCTCTTTCACATGAAAATGAGAAAACGATCAATATTACCTAGCAATATGCTTCCATGTGCCTTGCAACTGTCTGAAATGCCCTGATCATTGTTTTTACAATGATGCTTTCAAGAATGAGCTAGAAATATTTTGGGCAGTTTTATGATAATTTTAACCTATAAATTTGCACAGTTCTCTTTCAAGGAAATGAAAAAACGCCATCGAGGGCAGGCTTGCAACCACGCACATCGAAATTGCCGAAGAATTTAACGCCAAAGCGGCACAACTGAGATTTACATGTTCCACAGGCGACTTCAGCGCAGATGGCAGCCCTTGTCCCCAACTTAATCCAAATCTGAGCAACGAGGGTGTAAGACACTGGTCGATTTATCGTGGATTTCCCTTTCTTTACCAGACACGCTCAAACCGAAATGAATGGGATTCCAAGCACTGAACATGATAGGCCATTTGCATTTGCTTCGTCGCTGTCGTATGAAATCGTGGCTCACAAATCGCATGACGGTTGAACTTGTTTTACGCCGCGAGCCCAATAGACGGTGCTTCTCTCTAATACGGTTAAAGTTCGGTGAGAGAAAGTGACCCAAGAAAAAATCGGATGATTCTGAAAACGTCAAGGTTTTTCTCGAGGCCGATTGGCGGACGGTCCGACAACATATTCAAAGCCGTACTTTGAAAACAATTAAAGTGGCCCTGGTGTACCTCGAACCACACAATTTGGTTAAGCTTTGCGGGAACTGGGAAAGGTTTACAGTTGCTGTACCCGTTCTTAACTTCGGCTACCGCTCCTAACGTATGCACATTGCACAGTGGGCGCGCACGCACATCTATATCTCCAGAACAGCAGCGTGGTAAGTGCGTCTGGAGGAGGCTCCGTAAACGGCCGCTGCAGTGCGGCGGGCGCCACTGAGGCCGGTCGGACGTGTCGCGGTGGCCGGCCGAACGACGCTGTAAGGCCACTCGCCTTCGTTGGGTGGCAGAGGCAGGTTCTGCCGACCAGTAACACGACGGACGTGAAGCACTCGCGCCTGTCCGGCGGTGCGGCGACGGACTCCGCGAGCCTACCGTGTGCGAGGGCCAGAATCACGGAGTGCGCCGAAAGGAGCGTGACGCGTCGCTGAGCCCGACGCACGCGGAAGCCGCTGGGAGTGCTCGTGACCAAGTAAGCTGTCGCGATGGCGGATACGGCAGAGAGCGGCAAGGCCGAGGAGAAGTCCGAGCGGAAGGCGGAGGTGCTCTTCGAGGACGTGCTGGAGCGGTGCTGCGGCACCGGCCGCTGGCAAACGCTGCTCATCGGGTACATGTCCGTCATGTGGCTGCTCTTCCCCGCCTTTTCCATGTCCATGATGTTCGTCGGCGCCACGCCCAAGTTTAGATGCGCCGACGGCTTCGCCGCCAACGCCACTTTCGCCTCGCTGCCGTCCGATACACCGCGCTGCTACGCGGCCAACTCGACGGCCGCCTGTCAGCGCTGGGCGTTCGACCCGTCCGTGTACGTGTCGACGGTGGTGACCGAGTGGACGCTGGTGTGCGGCCGCAAGCCGCTGCTCTCACTACTGCAGTCGTGGCTGATGATCGGCGCCTTGTTCGGCTCGGTGGTGAGCGGCCAGCTGGCCGATCGCTTCGGCCGGCGGCCCGTCTTCCTGCCGGCCATGCTGCTGTTGATCGCCTGCGCGTTCACCGTCGCGCTCGTCACCGACTACGCCAGCTTCGCGGCCGTGCGCTTCCTGACGGGCGTCGCCATGTCGGCGATGATCAGCAGCCAGTACGTGCTGGTTCTGGAGCTGTGCAGCAGCGAGCGACGCGCCACGATCGGTATCGTCTCAGTCATGCCATTCGCTTTCGGCACATGCCTCGTCGCGCTCGGCTCGTACCTGATCCGCACGAGATGGCTACTCCAGCTGGCGTACGCCGTGCCGTGTCTTATCTTCCTGTTCAACTTCTGGCTGATGCCCGAGTCGCCCCGCTGGCTGGTGCTGCAGGGCCGGTTCCCGGAGGCGTGTGCCGTGCTGCGCCGGGGCGCGCGCTGGAACGGCCGCCGGGTGCTGCCAGAAGAGGAGGTGCTGCAGCTGATGGCGAAGGCGCAAAACAACATGCTGTCCCGCCAGACCACTATGAAGACCGCCGGCGGCCACGGTCCGCTGCAAATGATGCTGCAGCTGGTCCGGACGCCGCACATGCGCCGCCGAACACTCATCGCCGTCTTTCTCGGCTTCATCATCGCCGGCTCCTACTTCGGTATCTCGTTCGACACGACGCAACTGGCGGCGAGCCCGCATCTGGCGGCGGTGTTTTCCGGTCTCGCAGACGTTCCCTCCAGCTTAGTGTTTCCCCTTCTGGACCGGCTGGGACGGCGACCCTCGCTGATCCTCCTCCTCTGGCTGCAGGCCGCCGCCATGTTGCTCACCTTCGTGCAGAAGGACACCACGCTCTGGCTGGTACTCGGCGTGGTCGCCAAGATCGGCGCCTCCTCCGCATATAACACGATAATGGTGTTCATGGCGGAACTGATGCCCACCGAAGTCCGCTCGCTGGCGTGCGGACTGCGCCAGCTGGCGGCGCGAGTGGGCGCCGCTCTCTCGCCGTTCGTGGTGGACTTGGTGAGTGAGCTGCACGAGAGCGCGCCGTCGGCCGTGTTCGCCGGCCTCGCCCTGCTGGGCGGCCTCGCCGGCCTGCTCCTGCCTGAGACCAACGGCCGCACGATGCCGGAGACGGTGGCCGATGTAGATGGGCAGCCGGTGTCCGCCGCACCGACCGGCGAACGCACCCGCACCAATGGGACGTGCCAGGGCGCTGACGAACCGTGAGCTGGCTGTAGCGGCGTCTCAGTAGACGCACCCGCAGGGCGCACTGATTACACGTGACCATGACGTGTATGTGATATAATCCATGTCAATGATTCTTTAAACGTATCCCGTTAGCTTAGGTAACTAACCGGGAAAGTTATATTTGAGCAAGTAAACGAAAAGTGATTTGCATTCATTTACCTATTGAGCGTCGTGGCAGAATAATACAATTTAGTGCAGTCAGGACTATGCTGAAAACCTGGCCGAATAAAGCCAAAACATACAGCAAAAGCCCAAAACAAAGCAGAGTTTAGAGGACATATGAAGCTTGTTATCAGAATTCAAAATCGTGGAGTACGCATCAAAGATATTAAACTTCAAGCACACCGACTAGGCAATGGCATTTGCGTAGGCCAGGTCGATTATCATGACTAGCTGAACCCTTTATGGCAAGAAATTGTGCGCTCCCTGGCAGGCAACAAATCAACTCGCGTCAACGGAAGCGGTGTTTTTATGCAAAAATTATGCTTAGTATTTATAACCATTGACGATGCATTTTCTTCCCGACTCGTTCAATCCTGCCACGAATTTGTGGTACGCAAAGTGGGCCTCTTAATGTCGCAGTTCTCTACAGCTCAGCGTGGTGTTCACATTGAGGCGAGGTGGTCGCCACGAAAGGATGGAGCTTCACACTTAATTATGCAAAACACGTGGCAAAAGTTTCGTGTTCCCGGGCGCAATTGTGTACCTTTCCCAAACATGTCGTGTTTCCTCTCACGGGTTTTAATTTTGGTTCATGCGCTCATCCCGCCAAGAACTCCTTCGGAAAGGACCGTTTTAAACAATCGTTCAGCAAACTTAAGCACCACCCACTCAACCTTGCGTCAGCTCGTTTAAAGGCCCGCCAGCGATGAAAACGCGTGCATTGGACGGAAGGTAGATCAAGTTTGACAATCATCCCCATCAAGATCACGCACAGACCACCGACCGTCGAGCATCCGTTCAGACCCGCCTTGAACCGCATTCGTGTCAGTGAAGTGCGCTTGCACTGAGTTAGCCCCCTGCGGCTGTCCGTAATCATCGCCGTGCACCATAACACGGGGTGGTAAACATGCTTTGCGCCAACGGCGAGCATGCTTCCGCCGTCAGCGGAAGGCTGACGGCGGAGGGTGATGTATGAGCACCCCTGAGGTCAGTGGTGTGGTCGGAGGGTGGCGTGGGTCCTATAATGCGCCCGTGTGATTTGTGAAATGTTGAAAACAGCAATGAAACCTTTTGGTGTCTCATGTTGAGGCTTTTCATTGAAAGCGTCTTCACTGAAAGCGTCTGTTCATACTTTTACTTTTGATATCGTTATAAAGCTGGGGAATTGCCGGAGCAAAGGTCTTTCAGCAGAAAAAAAAACAATTGAATTCTGCTTGTTTTGAAGGAAGCTGATAACTTCTGGTTCTGTGTTCTCCACTTTTGTTAGCCATCATTCGCCATCAGTTTCTGAGGAAATCGTGTCATCTCGCAATTGCAACAGCTGACAACATTTACATGACCCATCATCTTGCATCTCAGCCCTCAGATGATACAAATTACGCGTGCACATTTTGGATATATCCCAGGAAAGCTATTTTAAAATGTTCTCCTTACTGAAACCTGCATGATCCAGCAACTAGTAAGTGCAAAGCTAGCCGTATCAAAAGCGTAAGTGGCTGGGTCGGGCAGCTAAAACCACGCAATTTTCGTTCAGTAGATGAGGAGGTTCGCTTAACTTGCGGCCTCACTCACGATGGTGTTTGTATGGGTGGGCACGCGTTTTTTATGGAACTTGGGCCCACTACAGACAGTTTTCTTATTCCCATTTTCCAGACCGAGAGGACAATCCTAATCGCAACAGCGGTGTTTTTTTATCCCACATTCCAAGCACCTCGATTATTGCCGCTCTTGCGCACCTTGTCCGGCCGCAAGACTGTCGACTAAGAGCGTTGCAATGGAAGCAGCACTGGGTGGAAAGGGAAGGGGGTACAATATCAGAATTCGAAACCTCAAGCAATGCAGACCTATAAGGGACAACGAACCTTGCTCTTGAACAGCTCACGTGCGGAAATGTCTGTTATCGGAGCACTTAAAACAGGTTGCAGCGGTCCATTTCACCCAGGTATGGCCGAACGAAAACTGGAAAGGAGTAATACAAGTTATACGCGGCGGAACGCGGGACGCACGGTACACGATGACACCCTTTGAGATGTCAAAAGACACTTATTTTGTGTTCGATATATTTTTCAATGGCTTTCGACAAAAAGGTTAGGGGCCATGCGTCTCATTAGTAAACGAAATGATCGGGACAAGAACATCGACAAGCTGCTTTTCTCAGGGTATTGCAACGCGTACCCCGAGGGGACAGACGGAGAAACATTAGGTTGAATCTTTCCGATCTTCAGCTTACTGCCAGTGATATCACAGCTATAGTCATGTATCCAGGGGGACGCGCAGCTCGAGTCGTAAACGGCGGATTTGTCCCGATCAAAACTGGTTTGTAAAGGGGCTATGCATCGGCGGAGGCGCAAGAGCAATTTCTGGGCTTTCTGGAAGATATGAGAGCAAATGAGATCCCTAGCATGCCGATGCAGTGCCATTGGTGCAAGGCATGTGACTGCTTAAATGAAACCACCTGTGATGATAACGAAACTTTTTTAAACAGAGCTCCGGGGATTTGGTGATAACAAAAAGTCGATTAAATGGAGCTATTTAGTCTCTAGCAATCATATTTTAGACTAATTTGAAGGGAGTCACGACAACAGTGCCACAAATCAGACATACACGTCATTACACACACGGCAAAAACTTGTACAGCCTTTAATGATGCGCGACAATGATTTTACTGTAAAAATGCATGCGAGATATATGAGCTACACGGCGAAACTTACGCTGCAAAAAAACATATCCCTGTCATCACTTGTACAGCAAAAGTTTTATCACACGTTCTTGCTGTAGCACTAATGTCGCGCTTAAGTCTTTCCAGTAGAGCACGTGAAGTAAAATCAATGTCGTGTAGAGCACTGGTGGATAAAGGTTTTCCAGTAGAAGCAATAACTGCTAAACATTTTTGAAATATGCGTTTTATAGTGTAGCACTTATTTCGCATGTAGGTGTTTGCAGGAGAAGTTCAGTTTTGTATAATTTACAACTGTGTATGTTTTCCCAGCAGAAGAAATGACGAGCATACATTTTCAAAGCATAAGTTTTGTCGTGTAGCACTGATATCGATGATAAGTTTTTGTAGTAAAATCGATGTCGTGAATGAGTAATGACGGTATAAATCTTTGCAGTAGGGAAAATGAAAGGTATCTGTTTTCGCAGTGTAAGATTTGTCACGTAACACCAATGTTATGAACTATGTGCAGCAGTTCAACACATTAATGCTAGTATTCTGTAGTACTAATGTCCCGTTTAAGCATTTGTATATGTGAGGTCGTAGCACTCTTCGTCGGCAGAAATTTTGATGTAGCACTAATGGCGTGAAACCAATTTTAAACGGAGCCCCTGGCCGCCAGGTCATTCAAATTAACTTTCTTAGCAGCCTACATCGATGATTATGCTGGAGCATAGACGCACGGGTAGTATATCCCTGTAAGTTTTTTGTGGGGTGCGTGAACAATAAGCATCCTAATTTAGGCTACGATGGAGCATGCTGGGTACGGCAAAGGGTCCCATATTTGGACGCGCTAGTGACGAAGTGGAAAGAAGGACAACGGCACCACGTTAAAGCGGAGCTCTTTATCAAACACAAGCTCTGGTATAATTCTGCACTGCGAATCTGGGTATCCAGCTTCCATTAAGCACAATCTAACTCGTAATATGCTCCATTTGACTAGATAAGTCATCAGGTCGTACTTTCTGGTGTTAGATTAATGAATAAAAGTACGTAAACAAAACAAATGAAATAGTAAAATGCAACTAAAAACAACCTGAATGAAAACTAAATCACATCTCAATTAGGAGCTTCTGCGCTGCGAATCTTGCGCATTTGATTTACACTAAGCACAACATAATTCGTAACACGTTTCACAGGGCTCTAAACAATGCATCAAGTAGTGAACAAAAGGAGCAACAAACAAAACATGGGTTTTGCTTTTTGGGAAATGGGAATTCCCGGTGACCGTTTTGACAAAACACACTCAGGCTGAAATCCAGAGAGGTACGAAGCCTGTATCCTTTTTAGAGCCCCAAGTCGTCTGCAAAGCACAGGACCATCCAAACAGAAAAATAAGTGAATCCATTCATAAAGGGAGTGTTTCACATTGGGCGATACTGAAGAAAGTATCAGATCTGATGTAAAAAACCGCCTATAACAAACGCCTGATATGAAGGCCTCGATAACTGTATGTTAATTGGCCTTGTTCGGCGCATTGGTTATGGTATGGAAGGCTATTAATGATATTATGACGTCATGAGTGCCAAGTTGATTCTGAAATACTTCCCCGACATATCTTACCCCATTTTCGCGGGCGTGTAGCTCAGAAAGTGGAGGGACTTTGGTCTTAAGGGCCGGATTGTGAACAGCACCGAAAGCTTTTCGAGGTGGCTATTTCAGTTTAAAACTCCATGTAAAACTTCCCTCTAATAAACAAAAACTGAATGAATTATTAAATGATTCAGACTTATGATTGGGTGCGGGCACGCATATCTAGCATAATGAGTTAGATGAAGGCAGCAGCTGGTTTATCGGTTTTGATTTTTTTTTAAAAATGTGACCAAAGCCGTTCACATTTCCAAGCAAGCAATAGTTTATTCCTATCCCAAGTCCCTTGACATCGGCAATGATGGTTTAAATGCGCTGTGCTGCATTTCAAATGTTTTTTTTTCGGAAATCACTTGAAATTTGCTTTTCTGGTTAGGAACACACTGGGATGGTAATCAGTGCTTTAAGCTTTGAAGCAGCACCATTACAGCTACCATCTACTAAAATTTACCCCATGGTTGTGCTCGTAAAATCGGTTTAATATCCAGGTTCGTATACTACGTATCTGTCAGCACAGGTAGGTGCCAAACATGATCACACTGCAGTGCAATACCTGAGGCCTCGGGAAGTCGGTTTATAGCGGCGAATTGAGCATCTGACCATTGGCTGACGCCACGTAGTTGGGCTATACTTCCACAAAATATCACTGGTGTATTGTTTATTTGTTTACATCTCCTTAAAGCAGTAAGACACTTATGTTAAATGAAATTGCGACTATTTTTGATAACTTGTGTGTGGTTACAAAATAATTTGTCAATTTCAATGATTCTGCCGCACTTCAAACATCATGGGTACATATTATTTTGGTGTGGCGCAAAGAAACCGCGTCAGTTTGTGTTTCTCTGCAACATATTTATCATTCGATCGGTATTTTCCTACCCTCCTCGCAGCTTGCAACGTCAGCTGGCGATTAAAACACTGCTGATTGGCCGAGAGAAATTGCACACGGTGCAGAGTTTTACTACTACGATTCTACAACACGCCCCGGTTTTATGGAACAGTTGCAAGTTATAGTTTGTAAATTTTAAAGTACACCTTCCGGACACAAACTATTTGTAACAACTCTTAATGAGAAAGGCTACTGATATTCATTAAGTACGTTGCATTTTTTTTCACTGAATTTTCGGTAACGGACTTGGCTCACAGAACCGAGAAGTTCAAATATAAAACGGACACTAGTAGACCTTCTCATAAAGGCAGTTAGTTATAGACTTGTATTGCAGTTTGTAAATTTGCAGGGGTATCTGTAAAATGCGTTTCATAAAGCAGAAACATACAAACAACAACTACAAATAACATATCTGCAAATCCACACACACACACGCACACAACTTTACAAATCTCTCGAGAATTTCTGGAGACGTACCCTGGTATGTTTCATAAAGACCAGCTGATTGTCCAGTCGCGGTGTATTTGTAAAATTAAAGGCACAAATTGCGACCATAAATCAACGATGACCTACCCCATTGTAGAAAAGGTGACCACAGGTTTCAGGCAATGCCAGTAGCGAAAATGGATTGTGGACATGAAACTCGCAGGAGGCTTGCCAGAATCTTCTGTGGCAAAATAAGCAAGTTCTCAGGGACGTGGGAGGATAAACAAGCTCGCAGAGCACAACGCTCAGAGGAAGTAAATCAGTGGCGGTGCTGAGGGATTTAATAATGACCAACCCCGCGTATGGTCCCCGCAACCAAGCGTGCAGCAAATCCTTCCTTTGCGCTATTACCCATCTCTAAGTGACCTTGACAGCCCCGCCGAATCGATCCAAACTCTGCGTTGTCTTGTGCTTGCGTGCTCAGGGAGCGGGAAGGCACTTTACGAAGTGGGTCATTTCCCGTGAATAGGCCTGCTGACCTCCAAATCACTGGCGGGATGAAATTGCTGCACTGATAGGTAATGACAGGTCTTAAACTTAAGGGTGGTTTCTGCTCATATAAGGTTAATAGGTATGCTCCGCCTATTAAACTGCCGGCATGCGGCGACATTCACCTTGTCGCCAAATAAGGACAGCTGTCGCCGGGTGTGAACGCTAACTGGATGCCATGTATGTGAGTAGATTATAGCTTAGGTCAGTTTTATAAAAATAAAAAAATACCGTCGCTCCGTGCCAAAAAATAACTCAACCGAAAAAATTTCCTCCGCTTACCGAGTTTTATAAACGGTCCTGACCACCGACACAAATTTCCCCGTCGACGGCTTTTTAGACACGAAATCAGCTGATGCTTATCAGAAGCACCAGATGTTATTTGCCTGGAGACAAACTTTTTTATCCTAAAATATTGTAAAATGGTGGAATGGTGTAAATGTCATTTAATCTGCTATTTCCTGTGTTTGAAATTAACTTCAACAACTGCATTGAGTGTGTCATTCATTGCTTTTATATCTCAATAATATTTTAACATCTGTATTCAATGTCGAAATCCGAAGGTTTACTGTGGCCGTACGTAGTGACTGCAGGTGAAAAAGATAGATAGGTGCGGGTTGTTTGCGCGTGATTTTTGATGAGCCTCAGTGGTTATGAAGCATTCGGAATCTCATCAAAAGAAGAAAGAACCTTTCATCGCCATACGGAGCAGGAAAGAAGTAAGTGCAGTTAACTTCAGGTGCATGCTGAATAGGATGCTATCTGGTGTGTGGCTAGACATTTAGATCCCGTCGCCATGGTTGCAACTATTTTGCATTTAGGGTGCCTTTTCACTGAAACTCTCTTCCAAATTGTGCCCGTGCAATGCACGTTTCCACACTAGTTGTTCAGAAATATAACTCCCTTACTAGGTGTTCCCCCTCCTTAAATCAGCTCCGGGGAATGGATTACGTAGCAGTTATGTAGGTCCCTAGTAGCCTCCTACTTACCTCGAATTGGCGGGTGTAGGATTTAGGCTAGTGGATATCATGCCAGATGTAGTATTTAAGGAAGTAGGTAGACATGCTGACCAGTGAGCCACTCCTGACTTCGTTGAAAAAAGGTATACACCCTTACACAGCTATGGACATCCGCTACCATGCTCACTAGCGCCTTTATAGGGCTTACGAATTTTTCTGAATTGCCAGATGTTTCAGAAGTTAATTATTGATGCGCTATAACTTGATTTGCTTGCTTTTATCCGCGTTTGACAAAATGACAACCCATACGCAGATATATGCCTACAACCTCAAGAACTACAGCGCGCCAACCAGCCCCGCCTCACCACTGCATGCCAGCAGGAATTTCACGGACGGCGCTCGCCACGTACTTGACACGACAGCATTGAGAGCGACATGTAGCGGTGATGAAGAGAAGCGAAACTTTCTCTATTGAGCGCACGGGCTCCTAATTGGGCATGGGTGTACACGATGGCGGTCCTTTCAATGGACAACACGGCTTGGCTTGGTTTCGCTTCACGGAGCGCCATATGTACATAACCAAAGACGTCCCAAAATGAGTGTTTTTCCCATTCTAGCCCCGCCTGAGCCCGTCATCCTCTCCGATGGTTCGATAGTCCTTAAGGAAAGAATAGGAATGTAACCAGGGCGACTGACCACCAGCCAACAGCATTTTGTGAGATATTACGCGATGTCACAAGGATTGGGTTCACATTTGTGGGAGTTGTGAAAATATTGAACATTTACCCCACCTGTTGAGGGAAGATCTGGCAACATGTACGGCAAAGATCAATATGTGGTTTGTATTCACCCAGACCAGGGGTCGGGAAGGTTAGTCGCCATTTCCTTTGTGATCCAGCGTGATTCAGGGGGGCTGTTATGCAGAGCCTGATGTAAGGTCCGGATTGAATGCATGGGAATCCGTTATGCTAATTAGTGACTGCCAAATTTGTTGATTCTTAATGCGCCTACCCAGGGGCACGACTTGGCTACGAAAGGCGAGTGGATGAGGGGGGGGGGGGGGACAAGCGCTAATTTTGACCAATCGCTAATTTCTTTCCTGCGCCTGTCATCAACAATGCCACGTTAAAACTCAGTTAATGGAACGGTAAGTGAATTTAACAAAACAGCTTTGTTTACCAGCAACTGTACGGTAAATTCAAGGGCGCTGATGGCGCAGAGAGGCGCGCTTCAGCGTGGGCGGAAGTCGTGGCGATCGCCACTCCAATCGGCTTCTGCAAGCCTTCACCAACAATTCAACAACTTAAGAAAAACTGTATGAACAATGCTGTACAAAAAAACCACAGGCAAGTAACACCTGCGTTGCCGCCTGATGTGTATGCCTTACTTATCAACTCGTTTGAGTCCTGACATGTTTACTTCAACTTAGGACAGTATATTCGCAAAAGCTCATTCGTCTCTCCCTATCACATCTGTCCTAGATCTTTCGTAATGATTTTATGATGATTATAAACGTGGTTTCTCTGTAGGCCAAGTGACTCTGTACGCCAAATTAACTTGTCAAGCTTATCAAAACGTCAAGCTTTTCAACTATGTGCACAGGCACTTTAGTACTTACGTAGTGTTTAGCAGCCAAATGACGACCTTGCATCGCGTTTCTATCTTTCCCCTAGACAAGATGGCAAGAAGATGCCGGACGGGCACGGGGGGCGGCGCCGACGTCCAGCTAAATGACCTGGATGAGGTCATACTGGATGTCATCGGTTAGTATTAATGGTTACAATGGTGACAAATACCTGCACCGTCATGCAGTTAACTGTCATTCAAACAATGACATGTCAAGGAGCAGATGTACTAAACAGAGAGTAGTATTTTCACTTACAAATATACCTATCTTATGCCAATGGTGTGCTTTTCCCTAATATCTGATGCTTGTTTCAATATTTTGCGATGTGGAATATCCCCGTTGAGCAAGAATTGTGTTTGTCTTCATTGTTCTCAGCGGGTACGATTACGTGTCGAATCGAGCCATTGATGAGTCGCTATTTCTTTTCCGTGCTTCATCTCTGTCATCTTTGGTTATTGTTCCATAGCCGTTGTTTTCGAGTAATCAATGTATTTCAGATCGGGAGGGCGAAGCGGCCATGACCAACGTCGCAGGCGGCAGAACCGTGTCGTCGTGGGATACTGGGAGTACAACAGATAGCAGTACACATGATCTTCTCTTGGATCCGGCGCTTAAATTTGTGATATGCAACGAGCTTCAGTCCCCGGTGCTGGCTCAGGCTAACACCTTGACAGCCAGCTCCTCGCCGTCGGCGTCCTGTCGGCACGCAGTGTCCGCCTCATCCGAGCTCGACCGGCACGCTTTAGCCGAGAGGAACCGGCGGCTACTTAGCATACCTGACGAGGAGCGCACGGCAGAAGAGCGGGCTGAGGTCAAGATTTGTTTGGCCACTCGGCTCCTGGAGCATCTGGTCAATACCTTAGGCCCAGAAACCGGAACATCACCCTTGTGACTGATGTTGAGAGGCCCATTCATCAAGTTTGCTCGAGGTGCGTTTTTCTGTTTACATATATGCAAAACATAACTGAGCTGTGCCTGGCGCACTTCGCCATTTCTGTAAAATAACACTAATACCGATTTATTGATGGATTTAGTATCAAAGAAACAAGGTTGAACGGCAGACACGGACATGGACACGGAACTAGCGGAATTACCAGATGACGGCGTTGCGGCGCTCCTGTTCAGCACGCCGCTCCGCTGCACCGCCCTCGTCGAAGGCGGCCACCTGGTCGTCACCGCCTACCGCGGTCTCTCGCGTGCCTTCACCGCCGAGCCATTCCCCAAAATCACCTGCCATCTGGCCCACGCTGTGCAGGATGATGCATGCACTGGAAGGAAAGCACAACAGGGTCGCAGCATCCTAATGTAGCGTGAAGAACAATGATAGCAATGTGTACATTTTTGGCATGCCAGTGACGCAGGCCACTGGCAAGGCTAGGAAAACGTCAGATTGGCTGGGAAAGTGTAGGAAAAGTCAAAAGTGACACAGAAAACTTACCGTATGACACGGAGCGACCTCTTCGGGTCACGCGTACGCAACCCCATCTCTGGCGCCGGGAAGCAACGCTTCATCACACCGAAGGCGTTTTCGACAACGACCCTCGTGCGCGAGTGTGCCTGGTTGTACCTGTCAATAGAAATGCACATGAAAACATGGCCGTGCTCACCAACCATTATATTCCCCTACGCCACGAATCGAGCACCAAGGAATATTTAACTAAAGAACGAACTTCAACTTGGTGTAATCAAGGTAATTTGACATTCAAGACGCAAGCACGCACAACTGCTCCTGAATACCCCATCCTGCACCAGCAATTCGTAACAGAATCACATCAAATTCGCAGAGGGTCTCTGGCAGTCCAGTATTACTTTCGATGGCGCCTGGGATACAGCAAAGCAACGTGATTTGCCCAGTCAGACATATTTGACCTTGACCAACCCATTTGATCCAAACTTGCCCCATTGGTAACGAAATGGTTTCCTTCGACCATCGTCTTTTTAATATTGTGAAAATGACCAGGCGTCCCGCACTAACGCAATCTCTGACTAGATTTTGGAGCCCCACCCCTCGCTGTGAGCAAATACGTTTTGTCGTGGACGCAAGCGTTTTTGTAAACACAGACGCATTGGGTTCTTGCTACCATCTCACGCCTGCTCCTCTGGACATGCAGGTGCCGCTACTGCGTTCAACAGCCACGGCATCAGTGGGTAGGCGCTGTCGCCGAGCAAGACCGCATGACGCTCTGGTCCTTGATGTGATATGAAGCTGAACAGTGAAATTTCGTTATTGAAATGACCTCTTTGAAAAAATATCTTAAATTTCCGGACGAGGCAATTTATACCAGTTTGCTAGCTAGTTGGGCTGCTGTACACATTGGTCTAGTGGCCAAATGCATTGCCTGATATTTCATACGCTGTTTCATTTATGCTGTGTTCTCTAGTGGGAAAACATATTACATTTGAGAAATGTTCTTGTATTTTAGTCATTTAATTGTATAACTAACATTTCGACGAGGCCAGATGTCCGCAGCACTCGAGCGTCATAGACCCGACCAGCGCAATGCGTCACAGCCGCGTAGATGCTCCGGTCAGGTCCGGCAACTGCCATGCAGTTACTTGACGTGAAGCTTTTGCGGTTCACGTAGAGGGCCTTTTGCGACTTCGGCGCTCGGATAGGGATTTGCGTTCCGTCCACGCAACCTGAAAACCGTCCGTCGCCGTCTGCCGAATGCATTGTGTGTTGCCTGTCTCTGCAGGTGTGAACATACATCTCTGGGGCAATGAGAGGTGTGCGCAACGCTACCGCGTTTGATTGAGTGTGACTAAAGAAAGCTTGGGCACATTCATGTTACTGCACGCTTCGGGACATTAGATGAAGCAATGGTACGGGATGTTTTAACATGTAGCACTGCAACACGGGAATGACACCTTTACCCACATTTTACTCTTGCACCAAGCACGGTTTTCCACCTTCTGAAATTTTACAGTCATTTTTGTGGTGATGGTTTTCCATGTCCGCCTTGCGGCTTGCAGAGCACTAAACAAAACTGAATTTACCACTGTCCCAAATGAGGTAAGAATTCACACGAACACTAACCGACAACATTTGGCAGCCCGGCACGCCCGTAAAAGCCGTGCTACACGGCAGCCATGTCGTCCGCCCATCGCACGGCCCCGGAGAATGCATTGCCGATCACGCGTGTGACCCGATGCACAGCACGGAACACCGTCGCTTTTGAAGGGCCATGGGAATCACCCACAAGCTGGTAAAAGCCATCAGTGGCATAAAACCTGTGAAAATTGCATATTCTTCATTCATTTTCACTGGCATTAGACAAAGCCTAGGCACTGACACGTCAGCGATTATTGTGTACACTTAAAGGGAATATTGCATATTTAAATGAGATTTTGAACTGCAATGTTGCTCTTGAGAACCTGTCTGTGCAGTTCGCAATCCTGCCCTTCTTAAGACCTAAGCTTCTCTAGTTTCTAAGCCACACGCCCGCGAACATGGGGTAAGATATATCGGGGAGAGCACTTCAGTCACTTTGGCATTGAAGTTTGCGACATGACGGGTAGATGCATCAGAAACATCACACAATAATGCAGCCGCGCCTAACGCGAGATGACGTCAAGAGGTTACACGGGTCGCAACGCGCATCACGCAATGCTATGCTTGCGTCAGAACATTCTGGCGTTGATCAAACATTTCAGGGCCGGATAGTCGCGGGCAAAGGGCTTATGTCGCGAGCACCGTTTAGCACGTGCTCTGCTTTCTAAAAGACCTTCAGTCTTAGGGGCTCAGCCTAAATCTGCATAGCGGTGATGCGGAACGAAGCATATGCAGGAAAACGTGGGAAACAAACATTAAATGGAGTTAAACGTTTCGGAATTTAACGCTTCTGAGACCAAATCCAGATTCTTTTCCGACATGTTTCTGAGATGAGATACCAAGCAAAGGGGGTTTGTTGCATTAACCATGGCCCTCCATCCCGTCGTGAAATTTCAGACCACTGGCAGCTTCTGGTGATCGGAGTTTGACGTTACGTGATGCTCGGCATGGTCCGACATGCCCTGTGACATAACCTGATCTTTAGCGCGACCGCTGCTACGGGTGGGTGGCTTGGTGGATCGGGAAACATGCGCTTTGAACAAATGAGCTTTAGGGACGGAAAAACAAAAAGCAAAACACAAAAGCGTATGCTTCAATGTACACAAAAGTTAACTTCATAGCACGGCGTTTGATTCGAACCTCAACGTAACAAGTAACTGCTCTCGTGGAGTCATGGCCATGCTGCGGGCAGAACGGTGCCTCAGATGAGCACTGATTGCTCCTTCACTGCTGTCTGCTGTCATTGCAGAAATCCGGAATCTCGTCCTGGCAACCAAACCCCAATGTTATCATAATATTATACATTGGGGCCTCAGTATTATTCATTGATGCTACAATAGCGCTAAGGAAAAATACGCAGGAACTTATTTTGTTGTTTAATTCCTTTGCTTTGTTTTGTGTTAAAAAGTCTGTAGAAGGGAAGTGCAAAGTACAGTATCAAATTATTGGTGTTACATAGTTTTTATGTTCATCACACTGTCACGAAATTACTACGCTTTAATGCATTCTGTCTCATTTCATGACCTAACATGTCAAAAAATAAAAGTTTTGTCAGGTTAATGATATTACGTCCACGTCAAATTGAAATGTGCGGCTTTGTTTGCTGAGGCATCTCGCACTGGCCCATAAGTCCCATACTTTGTGAATTGAATTGTTCACTCCTGTATGGCCTTTTGGGGTACAATTTTTCACTCCCACCCTGGTCCAAAAACGATCCTAGCTCACTGCTCAAAACACAAAAGTGCATATTGGTCTTCCACTATCATTTGAGATCTTACCTGAAGTCTTCTCAAACTTGCCACTCCAGATTTACAAGGGGCCTAAAACTCGCCGGCGGCGCACCCTTTCATGGTCAACATTAGTTTGAAAGGCCATCCTTCCAAGCTGTGTGGAGGTCGCTGAACCTGAAAGTGTGCACACTAAGGTGAACAATAAATGTATAACAGTGAAAACAACAAGCACAAATTCTGAAATAAACTACAACAAACAATCCAGATAACAGTTAAATAACACAACACGCACGGTTCCCGGACCACGACCCGTCGGCAGCCAATCAATGCACATATCACTGAAGACCAGCGTCACCCACGATCTAATGCGATATGAAAAACACAATGATGGGGTTGATTTTTTCCAGCGTTTGCTCGGCAATCGCTGCGCATTTTCTTCCACGCTTCTCGTCGCGCGTCTTGTTCATAAACCTCAACGGAGGAAAATCGCTCCCGACAGCGGAGTATTTTTGTGCAGATTTTTTTTTGCCCCGAGCTTTATAAAATTCGGAGGAGGAAAATCTGAAAAAATACCTCCGTTGACGGTATTTTTTTAAAATAAAACTGGTTTCTTATCATGGTAATCAAACACTGGTATCATGCTGGTTCACTGAATCACTGTTCTACCGGTTTTTATGACAAAGCCAATTTTCTATGTCTTTACTTCTGCTGAAAACTAAGATTGGCAGGGGGGTGAGGTGATGTAGCAAATGTACGCAATTACGAAAGAGATGGGGTGGGGGAGGGGGTACAGGTTTACAGGTAGGTTTACTTTAGACAGCAGGAGGTTTTGTGGCCTTACGGTCCGATTGTCATAGGAGTTCAGTAAAAGATTGGCATTTAGTTCTCTCAGAGACCAATTCCGGCCATTTGTTGCGGACTGATGATAGCACCCTTTCTGTAACAAGAAAACTATTGAAGTGAGTGGTTTTGCAGCGCACATCCATATACAAATTTCTTTGCACTTCTAAGCTTGTCATTTGTAGGGAATGAAATGCGATACATTTTATAGTGGCTGTTGCTCACATTAAACGAAATAATGTCCTGATGGAACCCATAGTGCAATCACCGTATACATTAATTGCAGCTGTGAAGACAAACAACCTGTTTTGTTCGCAGCCTACACTGATGGTAGAAATGGATAAAGTTCGTCTGGTGGTGACATAATGGTAGGAGTGTCACTTTGTATGGATGATGAGGGGAAGCGAAAATCGATAAGGCTTGTCTGGTGGTGGGTTAATGGCAGGAGCGTCACTTTAGATGCATAATTAGGGGGATAGTCAGCAAGCCATAGGCCTCACAACCTTCCCCCCTCTAAATGTGGTTGCTAACAGATTTAGTCTGCTTGATTTTCATTACAAGTAATGTCTGTTCCTTTGTTATCTTATTCGCACGATTTTTTTAGCAGCATTATGGTCATGCTCGATGAATAAAGCCCAGAGAAGATGGGCTTCGTATTATCGTAAGCTTGTTCCTCATATCCTTTTGTAATATTCTAAGTACAAGTTTTGTGGGTTCGGGGAACCGGCATTGAGGGGTCCAACCCATCATGAGAGTTAGGTAGGGCCCCAGCAAATAATTTGAATCGACACAACTGCATTGTGCATGACAAATGTCACAGCCGAGCTTAACGTTGCTTGCTAGTTGGTGTGTAAAGGGCAATTTGGTTCGCTGGATGAGTTTCTACCAATTTATGGATTCTGCTAACAAAGTGTGTCATTATGCCGTACGACCTATTTTTTCATGATCTTAACTGCAATTTTTCACCAGCATATGTAAAAATAAATATAAAGACAGTGCCAAGCAATTTTAACCCTTACTCTGATTCACCGGTTTTCATAACGCGGACTAGAGGAAGGGTGGGAGGGGGATGCCGTCTGCAGGGAAAGCACTTGGAACCTCGTGAAAAAAGCAATGGTTTGTCTTTAACGAGATCTTGCGACTGGCAAGAAGTATCATGTTGTAAATAGACCCCACTTTAACAAGTCCCAGGTCAAATTTCCCAGAAAGTCGAACTTTTTCAGCCTGGCATACTCATTTGTCCGAAACCATGTCGCGTAGGGACACGGAACATAACGAGGCATGCTCCTTGTATAGTGATAAGTACAATAGCATTTGGACATATTTGTTTCACCCTATAATTATCGTGGCGGGTTTCGTTAAACAGTGTGTCTAGTCGAGCCGGATTTTGTATTGTGCTCGTAGAATTGTAAAAAAAAACTTCTGTTTACTTCTATTGATATCCTTTGTTTTTTTTTATAAATTCCCTTCCATTGACCACTTCTTTCAAGTGCCCCCAAACATCTTCTGGCTCCGCAAAGTTATCAGGTGACCGCAAAACGTTTTTCGTTGCTAATTCGCCGCTTATATCGTGAACGTATCGCTAGCGTCAGCGAATGGTCTTCCGGTGATGAAGCGCATCGGCACTGACAGCAAATTTCGGACGCCCTGACTGCGGACACTGTGCAAAGACGCATTTGCTAACAGTTTTAGGAAGGAGTGAGGAGGAGCGCGGAAGTATCACAGGTGGAATAACTGTTCCGACCATCGTCCTCGTCTGGCGTGTGTTGTGTGTGTAAGGTAACACGCGAAACGAGGGCAATAGTCCGAACAACTATTCCATCCGGTGTGTGATACAACACACCAATCGAGGGCAATAGTCCGAACAGCTATTCTATCTGGAACGAGTTGCTTACATCGAGTTTGAGGAGCGCGCCGCACTCGACCGGCTGCTAATCTTAGAATTATCCAGAATGCTACAGTTTTTCTAAAGAGCGTTAGACGCGGCAAACACGGAGGATTATGGCAGGTAATTTTCCAGGTCGACGAGAAATCTTGGATAATTTTCAGAGCTTGGTGAAGACGAGGAACCTGTTCTTCGCCACATATAGCTATGGCCATTTGCTATACACGGCGACCTCGGACACTAGGGGATAATTTCAGGACCTGCCGAACGTAAATGGAAAAAAGATGTGTGACATGATGATCGGAGGGATAATCATTTGTTAACTGGTGGTATGGTGGCCAAACGCACTGCTTCCTGAATTAATCATGAATTAATTGGCCATGCCAGTGCGTCAAATTTATTTCTATCCTTTTACGAGTTTATTAGTCGCCAGTAAAGTGCATGCGCACCTCTCGTGCCTTTTGCTGCATTTGACCGTTCTTTAAATAATATTTTACCAACCATGATGTGAAAGCTGTTTTATATTGCCTAGGCGTGAACCCCATAGCAATTTTAATCTCATTTGTCAGTTGCTCTTAAAGTAGATTGTCATTGCTGGTCATTGATAACAAGCTCATTGCAGGCCTCAGTTTAGGCCATGTGATCCATGAAAGTATGTTGGTACTATCATTTGTAGAAATTATGCAACGTTACCTAATTACTTG